CATCTTTAATCCATGTTTTAAGATTGAAAACCCTTGGAATGATGATTTGAAACATGAATTCATTTATGAAACTTGAAATTTGATTAAGGCACACTAATAGGAAATCCAAAAGGATATAATTGAGATTGAAATTGCTTTAGGAATGAGAATTGGATCCTAAAGTGTTGTTTTGTATCAATGCTAGCTGAGGACTCAGATTGAGAGACTTTGAGGAAGCGAAAGCCGGAATATAGCAACGCTAGCCATAGGTTTGATATTTACGAGGTAGGATTTCTTACCCTTTCCTTTGTGAGCCTATTTGTAAAAGAATTTTGGCCTTGCAAATGTTTTACAGAAAGGGCATGGCTGCAAAAGAAAAATATTTTTAACCCCCATGGCTTGTTGTAGTTCTGGGGAGTATAATGAATTGTTTCATAAAGTTTAATTAATGATTTCTTAAGATAAGAGATCTTGCCAATTGGTAAACCAGCTGATGGCCTAGATAGGATTTGGAGAGTGCATCCTTAGGGTTAGGACCCGAAACCCGGCCCGGGGTGATATGGCTTGTGCATGTGGTTGTGTAAATAATTTATCATAGTATAAATTACTTGCTGATGCCTGTAATATAGAGATTTTCAGTTATATTTCCTTTGAGAAAAAGGATGTGAGGTTCTGGCTGTTGTGTTGGAACTGAATGTCTATATTTATTCATTTACTTATTTATTTATTTACTTGTTTTCTCACTTATTTACTTATTTACAAAGTTATTACAAAATATCTCCTACTGGGCCTTTCGCTCACGTTTGATATGTTTTATAAATATTAAACCCCTCCTAGGTGACTCTAGGAGCAGTGCGGAGTAGCGAAGTCAGTTGCTACCACCAAATTTGGTGAGGATTGTGATCATCCTCCCTGTGTACGAATGTAAGAATTGTAACTTCTGTAACCCTGCATATTTAGATTTCTAGACTGTGGTTGATGTCTATAATGTTATTTAGATGTTCATGTATGTATAATACTACATATCCTGTGGGTGAAACCCTGAACGGTGTTAGAGGCTTAGTTATAAACCTCTTGTAGTTAGTAAATTATTTTCAGTGAAATGTGGGGCTCGTTTGGGAATTTCCTTAATATTTTATTCTTAATCGCGTTTAACCCCTAATCGAGCCTCCACGTCACCGACCCTGAGTTCGGAGCATGACAGAGTGGTATCAGAGCCCTAAGGTTAAGAAACCATAGGATTGTACATACATGTGTGACATCAAGAATCCACTAAGCTTTACTGTGACAACAATGGAGCGGCGACTAATTCAAAAGAACCTAGAAGCCATAAGAGTGCTAAAATAAAGAAAGGAAATATCACTTGATCAGAGACATTGCAGAAAGAGGCGATGTAGCAGTTTTGAAGATCGCGTTGGAGAACAACCTTGCTGACCCGTTCATGAAGACATTGTCACTAAATGTATTTGATCGACACTTAGAAGGATTTGGGATTAGAGACGTGACATATCTGCTTTTGGACAAGTGGGAGATTATTGGGAATGATGTCCTAGAAGCATGAGATGTAATAGGATATTTATTATTTATTTAATAAAAGAGTTTATTCATTATTTTATGTGCATATGTCTATGAATATTGTATATAAGTGTTATATGCGAAAGGATAATGTTTAAGGATAATAATCAAAACGATGGCCGTAATGAATTAATGAATTTTAAGGTTCAGAATCTTTAACTAAAACATTATTAATACATGTCATTGCCATTTAGAATGGAACAGTGTATCCGTATTGTTAATATGGCGAGGTATTGAATAAATGCATTTCGCATAATGAGATTACGTGGAACTAGGACACAAACACAATATGAATTTATGATCATTTTTGTTTAAGTATAGAAATTCTAATTGAGTCTATCGATGGTCATATATAGAACGATCTTAATCCTTAGTTCTTAGCAGACTCCTATTTATGGATTTGCATCTTTTGATTTACTCGGTACAGATTCTGAGATCCTAAATCTTATTCATTGTATTTTGGAGACATGATGAAGTAGGTAGCCGAGAATGTTATTATACAAGATGGAATTCATTCCTTCTTGAGAAAGAAGTAGATAAATAATTCTCTTGAGGGTTGATTCGGTACTTGGACCAGTAGGAGCTCTGATTCATGAATTTATTTTATGAATTACTGTCCATTAGATAATGAATGGTACTCAAAGATAAAAATATAATTAGAGAGGTTAACAGATTTCACCTAGCTTTAATTATAAATTATTTATGGAGGATTGATCTATATGCAATGACTATATCAAATGGACACTTCATAGTTTAGAAGTAATTTATTTCTATAATTATGAGAGTGCAATTCCAAGTTTATAGTGGAGTAACTATTAGAATTAATAGAATCAATTAATTAATTTAAGTTTTTAATTATTTATTAATTTATTGGAGCTCAAAATTATAGGTTAATGAGTCTCCGAGTCGTCCTTGTAATTCTACAAGACACTAAGGGTAAAATAAGAATTTTGAAATTATGGAATTCTAAAATAAAAACACTCAAGGATAATTAATTGAAAATTAATCACAAAGTGTGAACGCAGAGCACAGTGTGAATCCCTTTGGGATTCAAATTGCTTGCTCTCCATAGTTATCCAATTAACTTATTTGATAAGTTGTTCAATTTGAAATTCAATTTGTTTTAAGTTTGGCTTAAATTGGAATTTAAATTTAAGTTAAAAATTAGACTGTAATTATTTGTAAAATTGCGCCTACCACAGGTAGGAAATCCCTTAGTGGTGGCTGGTCATATTGGATAAGGGAGGATGGATTTTGTTTCAAAATCAAATTTGAAGTGGGAGATAATTAACAAGTTTTATATTGGAGATAAAGATAAGACCCCTTTTGGGAGTTTGACTACTACTCTATAAAATAAGAGATTGTAGAAAATTGTGAGAGACAATTTTTGCTCTCTTCTAGCTATAGTAGCCAAATTTTATAGAGTGGGGAAGAGGGAAATTTTCTCTAAAAATTTCACGTCGTGCATGTGTTGGTTTTCATGGAAATCTTGAGCATTATTGCTAAACCCGTTTTGTTTCAGTTTTGCCAACACATACGTTCTTTCTAGATTCAAGGAATTAACGAGGAAGATTCAGGTTTTCTAAACTAGCATTGGAGCGAGGAACTTTCGAGGTTAAAAAACACAAGTTATCATCCTAATTAGTTTCTAGGTATAATTCCTAATATGGTTCTTAGTAAATAAATTAATGTGATTTATTTATTCGTGCATAAATTAATAAAATTTATAGAGTATCTCAATGGTTTTATATAAAGTTTTGTTATACACGATCTGCTACTCACACACTTCCACATTTGAAATCGTTTCGAAAACCAACACAAGAGAGGAGGGAACGTATGGAAGTAAAATCGGATCACGATCTTCAAAGGAATGATGAGAAATGAGATTGCGTGCGTGAAGATGAGGAGGCCGAGATCTCCATCATCATCAGACGAAGCAGCTCTGCAACGAGTCAGAGACTTGTGACTTTACGGGCTACATCTTCTCAGCTCAATGATCTCTGACGTGCGACCTCCATGCATGATCTTTAGAGCATTGGCCGTAGTAGCGAGGAAGATAGACAGATGAGAGAGAAAGATGGTGAGAGATGTGAGGGAAAGATGACATCATTTGTTTTAACTTTATTTTTAATGGCATAAATAAATCTATACCAAATCACTAAGTGGACATTTGGTTCATGAATTTAGAACCATGATTCAAAATTACTCTCGGTTTTCATATTTTTTTTGTGAGAGAAAATACTATAGCGAGGCACAAACCATGACACGAATCCTCATACGAAACACCCCATAAAGTTGAATAGGTTTTTTGGGGTGCCAACAAAACGTATCGTTGGCTTTTTTTTTTCCTTTTCTTTGGGCGTTGCTTTTTCGCTGAGGGAGAGAGAGCGAAGGAGTGGGGAGTGGTGGGCCTGCCAGGAAAGAGAGTTGCCCGGGAAAGAGAGAAAGAGAGAGAGAGTGGTGGGACCTGCTTGAGAAAATACAGAGAGAGAAAATGAGACTATCTAATTTGTACATATTTTTTTTTATATTTACTTATTAATTTTAGGCTTATTTGTAGTTTAATTTTGTCCATTTTAATACGGTTTCATACTAAATTTTCAGTACTGTTTGAATAAAAATGTTATAAATGATTCAATAAAAAATAAAATTTAACAAAAATACACTAAAATGAAACAAAAGCACACCAAATAAAGTAAAAACAAATTAAATCAAATCAAATAGAGTTGATTTAAACAAAGCAAAACAACTTAAAATCTTTTTTTTTTGTTTTTTGTTTTAGATCTTTTTTTTACGTTATTATTTCTTTTGTGTCCTTTTTTTCCTTTTTTTCAAAATTAATTTAACAACTATTATTTTAAATGAATCGCACACAGCACGCGATAAAAATTAGGAGTTGTTCTTTTGCAACAAAACTCAAAAAAAAATTTAAACTTAAGTTACAATTTTATTCAAGTTCACATTTTTTTAAGTTTCAACTTTATTTAACTTTACTCAACTTTATTCAAGTTATAACTTTAACTCAAGTTATAACTCAAATTTAACTCAAAAATTATACTCAAATTACACTTCAAAATAACAATCCCGTTATTGGGAAAAGCAATGTTATTAACATGTAATTTTCTCCTGGGTATATTGCATATTGCGTCGGGTTCGATGAAGAGCCGAAGAATCATGACATGGGCCGGCCTGCGTGGCCCGGTCCATATTTATACCACTAGCACTAGCAAACATACCGTTTGTATGGGAACGTGAGTTACAAACGCATTAGACCGCGGCTGGACCTCCATGCCACTCAGAAGAGACAAACTCAAAAAGATAACTCAAAAGAACCCATGTACGTTTGTCGTTTTTTTTACTTTTTAACTCACGCGCAACTCACGTGCCACACGCTACTTACCTCTTCCACTTCATCAGAAGCCCATTTTTTTCTCTTTGTTCAACCTGCTTCCTTAACTCCCCCACTCTTTTCTCACTCCCTAAACCCACCAAAACCCCCGCCGCCACCATGCAAGCGGCCCTCGCAACCCCATATCCACACGCCGCCTTAAGGCACCCGATTCCCCACAATGGCTCTTGCCCGCGTCTCCCCTTCTCTATCCGAGCCTCCGTCCAATCCCCGCCATTCATCGCAATCGAGTGCCCGCCGACCCAGAAGCTGAACAAGTACAGCTCCCGCATCACAGAGCCCAAGTCCCAGGGTGGGTCCCAGGCCATCCTCCACGGCGTGGGGCTCTCTGACGAGGATCTGAGTAAACCCCAGATCGGGATTTCGTCGGTTTGGTACGAGGGCAACACGTGCAACATGCACTTGCTGAGATTGTCGGAGGCCGTCAGAGAAGGGGTCAGAGAGGCTGACATGGTTGGGTTTAGGTTTAATACTATTGGAGTTAGTGATGCTATTTCAATGGGGACTAGAGGAATGTGCTACAGTTTGCAGTCTAGAGACTTGATTGCTGATAGTATTGAGACTGTCATGAGTGCTCAGTGGTATGATGGCAACATCTCAATCCCTGGTTGTGACAAAAATGTGAGTTTTATTTATTTTTTCCTTTTTTTCTTTGGTTTTTTTTGTTTTGTTTTGTTTTTTTCACTTCTTTTGATTGAAATTTGAATATTTGGCTTTAGGATGGGTGGTTTTGGATTACATTTTCCAAGTGTTTTACCTTGTTTCTTTGTGCCTAATTGACATTTTGACAAGAATGTGAGTAGGATTTTATTTTCTTTTCTTTGTGTTTTTACTTCTTTTGATTGAGTATTTGGTTCTAGGATTGGTGGGTTTGGATTACATTTTCCAAGTGTGTTGTTGTTGTCGTTGTTGTTGTTGTTGTTGTTGTGTGTGTGTGTGTTCTTTTTTTTTTTTTTTTATGTGAACAAGAAGTTATACTTAGACGATGCTATGGGAGGAGAATTTGGCTAAAATAACCGAGTAAGAAAGTAAAATTAGGAAAATGACTTTTTAATTTTAATTGCCCAAACAATGCATCAAAATGGCAAATCTTCAACATCTCCGTCACATCCAAATCCCCAAAAGGCCGAGACCCACCTCCAGAATCACGCCGAGAATGGCCCTGGCGACGACGCCGGCGAGGTTCGGGTTCAAAAACTTGATGGAGACGAGCATGGTGAACATTCAGAGGGTGGAGAGCAGGGCTCTAAACGTGCCGTTGATCGCGCCGTTCACGATCGCGACGTCGAGGCTCGAGAAGGTCGAGAACGTGGCGGTTCGGATCGAGCTGAGCAGTGGATCCGTGGCGTGGGGTGAAGTTCTGATTTTTTTTTTTCGTTTTTCTTTTTTCTCAGAAAGTCATTTTGCAAATAAAAATTTTTGAATTGTCATTTTATGAATAAAACTTTTCTATTAGGTTATTTTTACAAAGGTCTCGCTATGGGAGTAATTGACATTGGTTTTGAAGTGTTTGGATAACTTTTTCTTAAGACGAAGAGTTTGTAGATGTGGCTTATTAAGCTTCTTAATAAACGCCCTTTTAAGAGACTTGGAAACTTATAGAAAAACTTCAATAGAATTTTGCAAGCATCACTTTTATTACAAAACCTGAATATCATTTTTATATGATTAACTGCTATTAAAGATGTTTTTCCAAACTCTAACTAAAAAGCTATAGGAAAGCAATGCCAAATATATAATGCTGTATAACGTAAATGAAATATGCTAAATATCATATGTGATTATTACTATAGTACAGTTCAGAAATTGGCTAATATGTGATTGGTTAAAAGTAAGTGGTGATATCACTGGTGGTTGTTTATATGCTTAATCTAAATAGATAAACTTTAGTATATTTCTCTTTATGGATGTTGTTTTAGTGCTACTTGTAACTTCATGACTTTATGGCATGGTCGTTGTTGTCATGCGTGATTGTACTTTTGTTGTATCTTATGATTGAACTCGTTGCAGATGCCGGGCACAATCATGGCAATGGGACGCCTCAACCGACCAAGTATCATGATTTATGGTGGAACCATTAAGGTTTGATCTCTTTTCACTACGAAGGCATTTTCCTATATCGCTTTTTATGGTTGTACATTGATTTTTTATGGTTGTTGATTTTATTGCAGCCTGGTCACTTTCAAGGCCATACTTATGATATAATATCTGCCTTCCAGGTACGCACTCCACTGTGTTTAGGAATTGAATGTCCACTTTAGATGTTTTTGTGTTAACTTCCAGTCAAAAAGATTACCTGTTGTTTAATTTCTTTTATTTTCCTGTCTTGGTTTCTTTTGTTGAGCCTATATGCAAAGTTTGCTGTGCAGCTAACTGGAATGCCTTCCTTGTATTGCGTAGTGCTTCACCTTACTTCTGATCTTTCTTCTTTTTATTTTACTGGGGACTATCGTCTTTGGGAAATTCCATTGTGCTTTTATGTTTCCGGCTTGTATGAATGATTTCCCAGAACTAAAACTAAACCTCTGTTTATATTCCAATTGTTCTAGTGTTATGGAGAATATGTAAGTGGATCCATAAGTGATGAGCAGAGGAAGAACATAGTGATGAACTCGTGTCCCGGGGCAGGGGCATGTGGTGGCATGTATACCGCTAACACAATGGCTTCTGCCATTGAGGCCATGGGAATGTCTCTTCCTTACAGGTAAATATCCTTTCTTGGGACGACCAAAAGTGATATTTGCAGGTTAAATTTTCTTATTCTCTGAGTTCTATCACTTATAAATTTATGGTTTTTGCTTTGTTATTTCCTAAAAGCTCTTCAACACCCGCTGAAGATCCGTTAAAGTTGGATGAGTGTCGTTTGGCTGGAAAATATCTACTTGAATTGTTAAAACTGGACTTAAAACCTCGAGATATCATCACTCCAAAATCACTGCGCAATGCCATGGTCATCGTCATGGCACTTGGTGGTTCTACAAATGCTGTGTTACACTTAATTGCAATCGCAAGGTGAGTGGCAGAATTTTCCATGGATTCTTATGATAACAAAATAACTAATAATGAGATTCCCTGGCAGGTCTGTTGGTCTGGGATTAACCCTTAATGATTTTCAAAAGGTTAGCGATCAGGTTCCATTTCTTGCAGATCTAAAGCCTAGTGGGAAATACGTTATGGAGGATATCCACAAGGTCTGCATTCTTTGCCTGCACTTTCATTCTGTTACTTCTGCAATTTTTATTTGTATTTTGTTTTTTTTTTTAATGTGAATATGATTTTTCTCAAGTGGTTTTTGGCTATACTTGTCTTGTTAGATTGGAGGAACACCCGCAGTTATTCGGTACCTTTTGGAGGTTGGATTTTTAGATGGAGATTGTATGACTGGTATGTAGGTTTGTATTTCTTACTCGAGTTGATGAAAATACTGATGTGTTTGATTAACATAACAACATTTTTATCTCTAGTTACTGGGCAGACACTGGCTGAAAATACAAAAGGTTTCCTTCCTTTGTCCAATGGTCAGGTATGATACCTTTTTTATTTTCTTATATTATTATTTTTTTAAAATCTACTCGTTCTACTGTTTGTATTGATTTCATTGTTCATACGCAACATGTCCGAAAACAAACATTATATGCTGCTGTCTCTTTATCCGTTTCTCCTTTTCTATACTCAGGATATCATAAGACCATTGGAAAACCCCATAAAGAAAACAGGACACATCCAAATACTGTATGGAAATCTTGCACCAGAGGGTTCCGTGGCCAAAATTACTGGAAAAGAGGGGCTTTATTTCTCTGGTCTGTTTTATTTTTTATCGGTTGGAAATATCCTTATCCTTGGATTCTTTACGTACATTGAGTATACGATCCCCAAAAAATCATTGGTTTGGATCATCTTTTGCAGGCCCTGCACTTGTCTTTGAAGGGGAGGAATCAATGATTGCAGCTATCTCTGAGGATCCAATGAGTTTTAAGGTATCTCTTTTAGTTACAGTAACTAATCAATTATCTCGGATTATCACTTTTATGGTACTTTGTGATCGATCACTTGATACGTACCAGACTGGTGTACATTGGTTCTCCATTGTGATCCTTTCCTATGATTGTTTTACTGTGCGAAACATTGTAGTGAAGCTGAGTGGTATATCTGATGTTTGATTGCATTTGTCATGTTTCAGGGAAAAGTTGTGGTTATTAGAGGTGAGGGACCAAAGGGAGGACCGGGCATGCCTGAAATGTTGACGCCAACTAGTGCGATTATGGGAGCGGGTTTAGGAAAGGTAAGAATGTAGTAAGTCTGTTTGGTGGTGATTATTTGTTTGTTTTTGGCTGTTTGTGAATTCATCATTCATTATGACATAGCTTTCAAGTTTTTAAGATCGATATGTAAGAAAAAGAAACATGAAGTCTGAGAGTTCCTGATATTTTTGTAAGTTTACTTTCGGCGTGCATACTTTTAGTTCTTTTTTCTACATTCATTTGTCTTCTGTTTTAAACGGAAAGATGTTTGATGGGCATTGCTTTCTGATGTCACAGGAGGTTGCATTATTGACCGACGGTAGGTTTTCAGGTGGCTCACATGGATTTGTTGTTGGCCATATATGCCCAGAAGCTCAGGTATTTTGTGTGTGTGTGTGTGTGTGTGTTTTAATTCACAAATATACTTTCCTTTTAATTCTTACAATTTTTTTTTTTAATCATCTCTTTGGATTTCAAACATTGGTATTTGTACCATAATTTTTCATATTGCCTCAAAAATTTTGCATGCAACCTCCGACATTCTTTTCATTGTCGTGATGGAAGTTTATTCTTCCTTATTAGCATGTATTTTATGCACACCCTCAGTTAAAATCACCATTCAGAAAAAAAGTCATACTGCGTTTAGAATAATTGGAGTAATGTATCTGCAAATCCTTTTCAGGAAGGCGGCCCTATTGGTCTAATTAAGAACGGAGACATCATTAAGATCGATGTTCAGAATAGGAGAATAGACGTTGAGTTAACAGATGGAGAACTGGAAAACCGTCGAAAGACGTGGACTTCACTGCCATACAAGGCTAACTCTGGAGTGCTGTACAAGGTAAACGACGAACCTCTTTCACTAACACGTTCTTCATTTGATGAATGCCTACTAAAAAAACACTTGTTTTCTATTTGCAGTACATCAAGAATGTGCAGTCGGCTTCACAGGGATGCGTGACCGATGAGTAGAGCGCAGTTCTCTTTTGTAGAACATGGCTATAGAGCGTGTGAGACCAAGGCCCGAAATAGAACAGCATATTCTACGATTTTGGGTAACCGATGGCAGCTTTTAAGATGTCTGTGTAGCTCTCTGAACTTCATTTTTGTACGTATTTTAATTGTTTGGACAAGTTTTTAACTTTTTTTCAATTGGTTCATGTAAGGATTTCATTTTTATTAATCTACAAAACCTCTGTGCTCGTTTGTTTTCGTTTTCGTTTTTGTTTTTCACATTTTCCGAAGGGGAAAATTGAAACTGGAAAGGAAAATGCATTTGGGAAGGATCCGTACCAAAACTAAAAACAAAAATGTTTTTGGATTTTTTCCAAAACTTCACTTTTTTTTAAAAACGGATTACATCTGTTTTCATTTTTTTTTTTCATTTTCTCCCTTCGTTCTTCTCTCTTTTCTCCGACTGCCCCCCGCCCCCCACCCCCAACTCTTC